GGCACTACAGCTAAAGGATTGAAACCCTAAGCAAACATCAAAATCAGTCAAATGTGAGAGCATTTCAAGCAAGTATATGTCAAATAAGAGTACTAAATTTAAAAAACAAAAATAAAACATATGTGATTTTCTCAAGAGTCCTTTTCAACATCTCCTGAACCTCTGCTTGCTCTTCTAAGCTCCTAAGTGAGATTAACTTCTTGGCTGACATCCTGGGGTTTTTTTTTTCATCCCAATGCATATTTTCCTCCCTTCAAACTGGGTCCTGGAAGCCTCGATGCTTGATTCTCTCCACCATCTTTCAACAAAATCATCTTTAAAAAAGAAGAAGAAATAAAAATATCTCCAGATAAACAAATCTAAGAGATTCTGTCACTAGTATGATTTTAAATTTCCTTTAAAAATATAAAACCACTCAAGATGAAGAGTTGGATAAGTAACAAATCTACACAAAATTCACTCTTAAAGATAATTGCATTGGTAAATATAAAGTATACCATGAAAATACTCTTTGTTTATAGTATTTTATATGATTAAAAATAACTATAGCAAAACCATATTGTATAATGAGGCCAGAGAGATAGTTCAGGGGTTATGACACTTGCTTTACATGCAGCTGACCTTAGTTTGATCCCCAGCACCATATATGAGCACCAGAGCACCATCATAAGTCATCCCTAAACACACAGCTGGGAGTAAGTCCTAAAGGCAATACAGCATGACTACAAACCAAATAATAACAAAGTAATAATATGTTGCATAAAGTGATATTTTGGTTGACAATACAGCATAAATAGAGATGTAGCAGACCTTTAGTTATATTAACCACAAATCCAAAATTAGTTTGTATTAGTCCTCATAGTATTCAAATTTAGATGCTAATCATAGTTTCCATGGCAGTTCCTTGGAAAATAAGCTCATAAAAACAACAAAAAAGGAAACTAAAATTATACTTTATAAAACATTTACTTAACGTAAGGGTAATGAAGAAACAGAAATTAAAAGAGAAAAGACCTGTAGAAAACACACAGACAATGGTAGATGCTAACCTGACTACCACCAATTACATAAAGCACAGATGCATTGGAAATAAAGAGATGTTATAGCAGGTAGGGTGCTTGCATTGCACATGGGCTAACCTGGATTTGGTCCCCAGTTCCCCATATGGTCCTGCGAGTCCTTTGAGGAGTGGTCCTGAAGTACAGAGCCACAAGTATGCCCTGAGACGAACTGGGTGTAGTGCAACAACAAAAACAAAATACAATGCACAGATGTATTAAATACACCTAGTCACAAGTCAGATAATGGGTAAAACAATGGAAACTATTTTCACAAACAAACAGTGAATTTAATTTGTCTCCAAGAGTTATCTTAGATTCAATGGCACAAATAGTTGGAAGCTAAAGGAAATAAAAATATATCATGAAAAAAGCTACAATATGTTAGAGTTGATATACTAAAATGTAAGAGTTTAAAATAGAAAACAATGTTAAAATAAACTGTCATTGTCACTGTCCTCCCATTGTACATCAATTCACTAGAGCAGGCCCAGTAAGGTCTCCATTGTAACATTTGTTACTGTATTTGTCATGTCTAATACTTCCCGGGTAGCTTGCCAGGCTTTGCCCTGCAGGTGAGATACTCTCAGGAGCTTGCGGGGGGGGGGGGGGGGGGGGGGGGGGGGGGGGCTCTCCGAGAGGGGCGGAGAAATAGAACTTGAGTCGGCCATGTTGGCCACATGCAAGGCAAACACCCTACCTGCTGTGCTAAACAACAAACATTTTAAATTGATAAAAGATATCATAGAATAGAAGGTAACATATATGCACCTAACAACAGAACTTCAAAAATACACTTTTATAAAACTGGCAGAACTTTAGGTAAGAGATCGTTTAACTATAAAACCTAAATACATCGGTAGCATTCTTACATAATAGAATAATAACAAGAAGATTAAACTAAAATAAAAAATTGGGGGGGGGAGGCTTTTTTTCGGTCACACCCACTGATGCTGAGGGGTTGCTCCTGGCTTTGCACTCAGGATTCACTCCTGGCAGTGCACAGGGGAACCATATGGGATGCTGGGAATAAAACCCAGGTGGGCCACGTGCAAGGCAAATGCCCTACCCGCTGTGCTATTGCTCCAGCCCCACTAAAATAAAAATTTTGAAAAACATTATAAGCAAGCTATTCCTAATAGACTTGCATAGTACACATAGTACATAATACATTCAATGTCGCAAAAGCAGAATATACAACGTTCTCAGCATGTTTGGAAGCACTTATGTTCTTTTCAGGACAGGCCAATTGAAGCAATAGAGTATTTTTTCTAATCATAATAATATTAAATAATCAAAATCAGAAGAAATTTAGGAAAATTGCAGAAATTAAGAAAAAACTTATAAATACTCAATGTATTATAAAATAATTTGAGATTAATTAAAATGAAAATATGAGGTGCCCATACTTAGTATATACCTCTAAAGTAGTGCTTAGAGAAATGGATAACAATAAATTCCAATATTTAAAAGTAGCACCTTAAATCAATAATCTAACTTTCCATTCAAAAAGTAAAAATAGAAAAAAGAAGATTAAAATAAGTGAAAAATAAGGATATGGAAGGGAAAGGAAAAAGATTACATGAGAAGTAAGCAAAATAGAAAATTTGATAGGGAAAAACTGATGAACCACAAATTTGAATATTTAAAAATATCAGTAAAATTTTGGCAGAAGTTTTAGACTGACATCATCAACATAAGAGGAAACACTTAAATTAATAAAACTATAAATGGAAAAAATAAAATGTTCCAATGAAAATGAATTATATAAGAAAATTGAATAACTTTACATCAACAAATTAGGTAACCTAAAAGGAGTCACCTAAGTATTCAAATAGGATGAAAGGACAATTTACCTTTAAGTTATTTAGGAAAAAACTTTTTTCCTGTATTTTCAACTTCTAAAAATACATATTTTCTGAAAATGATATTATCATCATCATTTTCATCATAATTATTATACCATTATTTACTTCATTACGTTTTGCAAGAAAGGTAAAGGTAAAGGCCCTCCCGTTGATCGTCGATTTGCTCGAGCGGGCCCAGTAACGTCTCCATTGGAGACTTTGTTGTTACTGTGTCTGGCATATTGAATACTCTCGGTAGCTTGCCGGGCTCTCCGAGAGGGGCGGAGGAATCGAACTCGGGTCGGCCATGTTGGCCGCTTGTAAGGCAAACACCCTACCCGCTGTGCTATCGCAAATCAGAAAATTTAAACAATATTGTCTTCAATAAGAGGCAATTTCATTAAAATTCGCAACTTGCACAAACACAAGCACTTCTGCAAATGACTGAGATTTTGGTGCTGATTTACAGTAATTTTCAAATATCTGAATGATCTAATTAATCTGAACAGAATGGGTGGTTGAAACAAATGGGAAATCACTGAAAGTGAGGAAATCAAAGACCAGAAATATATGGAAAGTCTCTGAAGAAGTCATACGGGTGGTCTGTCAAACTATAAAATGTGACAGGATTTAAGTCACAGAGAAAGACTAGTTAGGTTGTAATTTAAAGTTCAGATCAATTTTAGATGAGGCTATGTTTTATGTTATAAAGATTTTCTCCACATATTCTGTTTAATTAGTTATTTTTCTTAAAGATCTAATTACAAGGAGAAAAGGTAAAGTAACAGATCTAAGGCATATTAAGACCCGCTGAGCAGCTGGGGACACTGGGAAAGTTTAGTTTCACTTGTGAAATTATTTAATTTGTCTTTCAATACCATTAATTCAAATATATTTGTGATTTTATTTAAATGCAACCTTTGATTCTTTAGCATATGAACCAAATTACCCATTCTTTTACTTTCTCGATGTTATAATAGAACATAAATATATGTGTGATAAATATATCTTATACACAGTAGCTAAAAGCATCAAAATAGTTCTATAAAAAAAGGGCATAAACTACTATTTTTTTATTCTCTTTCCATGATTAAGCATCACATACTGAGTTTAAAAGTGCCACCAGGGGCCGGAGCGATAGCACAGTGGTAGGGCATTTGCCTTGCACGCAGCCGACCTGGGTTTGATCCCCAGCATCCCATATGGTCCCACAAGCACCGCCAGGAGTAATTCCTGAGTGGAGAGCCAGGAATAACCCCTGAGCATCGCTGGGTATGACACAAAAAGAAAAAAAAAGTGCCAACATACTAATATAAATGGAAAATTTTCTAGAGATCTTAAATCAATTCTACTAGATAATAATGCTCCAGATAATAATAAGAAGAAAATGATAGATATTATATTAACCACTTATTTCTTATACCATTAGTTACTAAGGAAAGTTACTTACTAGGTCTTTTCCCATGTTGACTTTGTTAAATTGCGAATATTTTAAGATAATATGTATAGCCAGAGGGAGAAGGGAATGACTTGGAATTCAAGGTTTTTCTATGAATTAAACTGTACACAAGAACCTAGCAGCTTTGGAGGAAATTCAGCTGACTTTTGCTTTAATGCACCAAGAAGATTTCAGGTCAATACTTTAGCATTAATGTTTTAATTGATAATTAACATCACTAACACTGGAACTGAGGATCAGCATCTTGCTGTTTAAGAGAGAGCTCTCTGGTTGAGGAGGTCATTACACAGGAGAACACAAACACTGGAAAGAGTAAACACAAATCACTAGTTTCCTTGAGCAAGGACACAGTAAACACTTGAATTGGTGGTCACTTATAATATGTTTCTAGAGCCAGTAACTCTTGCAACAGTACAGCTTGGATTTATAGTGGGACAAACAAGTAGCAGTGACTTTGAAATCAAAGTATAAAAGAACCAAGGAAAAATTCTAGTTCTTAAAGATTTGTTTCTCATTACAAGGATTTATAGACTTTCACCCAGTTCCAAAGCAGGATGCCCTCTTGCAGCCGGCCACAGAATGCCCTTAAGTTGCTTTTCCTAAATAATCATTTAAGAAAACCAAATACATTTGAGCCTGGGTTATAAAAAGTACTTTATTTAGTTTCTGTTGGGGAAATTCAAACCAATCTATTCCCAACCTGAACAATGTAGACAAAGGCTACTTTTCCCTTTTGGAAAAAAAAATAAAATTTAAAATATATCTTCTGCTTTGTTTCTGCTTACGATGTCTCCAAAAGTTCAATCACTTCTCCAAATCTTCCCAAAAAAACACTTTCCCTGGTAAGAACCCTGATATCACCCAGCATCCCCACCTCTTCCATCTTCAAAGGAGGACCACTCCAAACAGCTCCTCATTAGAGAAGACAGATCTTAGAGAAAGGAGGAATTCTTAAAGAAAAGGGCCTTTCCCACAAATAAGTTCCTCTTCTTTCCCTTTTCATGGAAAAGTGTGGGGGGGGGGGGGGGGAACAGCTCGCAAATAAAAAGTACTCACTGTCCCCTGTTTCCCTTTGTATTGTTGGACCCTGGAGTGGAGTCTGACAACCAAGAGCCGCCGGCTCTGTCCCGGGTCGGCTTTCCCCCTTGGTCTGGGCCAGGGCCAGGAACAGAACCAGAGCGCTGAGTGGTCTCCTCGGCCCCACTCTCCACACCGGGCCTGGCCGGGGATCCCTTGCTGGGCTGTGAGGAAGGGCTCTTGTGGAAGCAAAGTTTGAAAAGGCCCAGCACTGTCATGGTCAAGATCACCAACACGACTATGGCGATGGCCACAAGAATGAAGACCACAGTGGAGGAGTCAAATGCCTGGGAGACCGCCGGGGAAGAAGTGGAATTAAACGCAGGAGTTGTTCGTCCTGCGGAGGGGGCAGTGGCCTTTGGCTTGGCAGCTTGAGAGGTCATCCGAAGGACAGAGGTCGTGCTAGTTGCTCCCCACCGGGGCATCTTGGGACTTGACGTCGTAGAACCGCCTTGTCCCGGAGCCCAGGGCATCTCTCCAAGCTCCCGGTGAACGCTGGGCGACCCAGGTCTCTTGGGCACGGGGCTTGTTGTGCTGGACGGCGGCCGTGGGCTGGGCATCTGGGTCCCTCCTGGAGTTGGCCGCCGTCCTGCCCCACCGGTCTCACAAGAGCGTCCGTCTTTTCCCAGCGCGAAGCCCTCGGCACACTGGCAGCTGAAGCGTCCCGAGTCGTCCAGACAGTCCGCCAGCAGCGCGCACTTGCCGGCGCGTCGGTAGGGCCCGGAGCAGGGACAAAGCGGAGCCCCGGGGGCGATCCCTTTCCAGCGCCAGCCTTCCTGGTCTACGATGCAGGTGGCTGTCACGGAGAGCTGCCCGGGGCAGACGGCACTCACCTGGGTCCCGGGCGGACTGAAGTCCAGCGCCGCGCTGTGCAGCTGGAAGGGCGCGCGGTAGCTCAAGTTCGAGGCGGCCCCGGGGCGCGGCGCCGGGCAAAGGCCCTCAAACTGGTACTTGCACAGGTAGCCATCGGCACGCTGGTGGCACCGCATCTCCTTCCAGCCGGCGGGTTCCACCCCCCGGGTGGCCTGAAGCCCCGCACACTTGCGCGCGGTGCAGGAGCGCTGGGGCTCTTCCACCCACGGCAGCGTGTCGCCTTCGGAGCCGCCGACGTCCGCCGACGACAACCAGGAGAAGCCCCGCAGAGGCTCCTGGTCCAGGGTGCAGTTGGAGCGCCCGCGCTCCAGGGCCACCCAGAACAGCAAGTCCTTGGAGCCCCCTCCGGGCCCGGGGCCCGCCCGCAGCAGTTCGAGCACCTCGCGCAGCTCGGCGCCCCCGCGCACCGTGCTCAGCGCTCCGCCGCGCAAGTTGCAGGCCTCCTGGGCCGCCGCCCGCTTGATGGTCGCGTGGTGCAGGCTGTAGCAGGCCCCCGAGGCCGAGCAGCCTGCGCGATCGGCCGTGGGGTGTTCGGCACCACCCCGCGGGGTCCAGAACGCCTGCCAGAAGAGGCACAAAGCGAGCGCTGGCCTCATGGTGCAGGCACAGCTCTCCCCAACTTGGATCTGGCCGGCCCGAGGGCGCGGAGCTGTCCCCAGAGCGCGGTCACCGCCCCCTCCAGCTGGGTCTCCCCCTCCTGCCCGCCCCGCTCCCGCCGGGCCCCCTCAGTGCCAAGAATTTCCATCAGGGTCCTGGCGGCCAACAGCTTCCCTTTAGGCCGCGACAGGAAACGAGCCGGAGCTCTGCCAGGCCCCGCGCAGTTCTGCTTTACTCTGGGGTCAGGAACACAGCTGGTGCCAGCACCGGGGAACCGGGGCCAACAGAAGGTCACACACCACCACGCTTAGAGCTGAAGCAGAGTCGCCTCCGGGGCGAGGTGTCTCTGTTTTTTCCAGTGGAGAGAGTTTTCAGCACCTCACCTCGCAAAAACACTTTGGGGAACGTGGACCGGAAGGACTAGAGGGGAGGAACTGCAGAAAGGCGACGCCTGCCCATTGTGTTTCGTCCGGAGCAGTCCTGGGGTGGCCTCCCAATGATTTGTAGAAGGCTCCAATCTTCCTGGGGCTCAGGGACTCTGTTGAGGGAAGAGGGGAGGGGAATGTGGTGGGGTGGGGTGTATCTGAATTCTGTAAAATATTTCAGGCGTGCGAATTGCTGGTCAGAGTCTAATTTAGAGTTTCTTTTTGGAAACTAAAGTGGAAAACCCCGCTTCTTTAAGGCAGCACTCAGGGAGTTTATTTTTCACATCTATTTGTTTCTCTTCAAAAGACCTACAATGGCTCACTCAGGGAAAGAGTGTTTCCCTGAGTTTCCAGGCCTAAGTGAAATATAAAGGCATAAAACTGAACTGTTATGTTTTTAGGTTCCTTTACTCTTGCATTAGTTCATAAGCTTATAGATAATATATAAATGAAATCTGACCTTAATGTTGAGATCAGCTAACCCTGTGTTTTCTTCATGGCCTCTTTTATGGTCATTTTCTCCAATGATTAAATGTTCTTATTTATAATAATAAATTGTAAAGTTTCCTTTAAAATGCTGAGTTCAGTATCCATAAGAAATTAAAATACATATTTCATTATAATTCATAATATATACTAATAAAAACATTTCCTGAAATGTATAAAATGAGAGTCGATTTCTTTAAAGTCCCCCTATATAAACTTCAAGTGCAATTAGAGAGAAAGTCCAGTGGGTAAAAGATGTACATTGCAAGAGGCTTACTGGGATTTTATCCCTGGCCCTGCGTATGGTCCCTCAAGCCCCACCAGGAATGATCCCTGTATAGGCAGGAGTAAGACCTGAGCACAGCAGGTGTGGCCTCAAATATCCCCTTCCCCTCCAAAAACCTTTAAGTTAATTGGAAACGGGGGCAAAATAAAGATGTGTAAAGAGAAGTTAAAATAAAAACACAATTGTTCTGAAAAACTTTTCTGGTCAGCAACTTAGAAAATTCTATGTCATATTAGGAAATGCATAATCTATCATAGCTCATATTGAATAAAATATTGCAAAGAAATATATTAAGTTCTTCATCTGAGTCCTCTAAATGATGTACAATACTTTTTTAAATATTTCAAAACCATAATGGAAGATGCCATCCCACGAATAACATACTTAAAACTTTCTTGTTGTGCTTGATTTATCCAATTCAGGTTTATGGTGAGGGTGAGGTAGAAGAGTTCAGAATAACACTATAGAGCATCAATTTTAAAAGCCACTATTCTTCCTCTTCTTCAGAGTTCCAGTTATCTCAAAAAGAATAGTAAACACCTTGAATCATCATCATGCTTACGTGGCATTTGCTGACAGTGGCATCTTTGCATTGGGACCTAGTCATGGTTTTTCCCAATTTTAAAAGACATTCATTAATCCTCCATTTCATATGTCTGAGAATTTCTGTACAGGAATTTATACTTAAATTAAGCAACTTAATGTCTTCCAAGAAAGTAACATGAAAATTTAGAAATATAATAAAATGTATTTTAAAATTAATCTCTTGGGCCAACTATATGTACTTTGCTATTGAAAGACTATACACCTGTGATTGTTTCCACTTAACACTGTTTATTTTAATAAAATAAAAACTTTTGTAAATATAACTTCTCCATGGACAAGTTTTAGGCATTTTTAAGGTCACTTAGAATAAGGCGAGATTTCTAGAGTAAGAAGAAATTAATGACTCTCCAGTCATTCTCCAGCTTATAGTAAATATATGATCTCACTCCTGGCCTTTCTGCCTTGGAGGAAGAATATTTGAAGAAAACTGAGTGGCCCTACCGTTCAACAATCCTGGCCTGACCTGGACTATTATTAAAGTCTTAGATTTTGTTTTGTATAGTGACATATGGGTGATTATTCCATTATTAAAAGTAGATAGCTAAAATAAATTGAATTAAATAAAATGTACTTATCTAGACAAATCATGAGAATGGCATGAGCCAGAAATTGCAGTTAGTATTATCTGAGCAGCAAGAGCAAGATGTTAGCTGTATTTTCAAAACATATTGTCAATATATTTTTTTAATTGCCATAATTTTTTGCAGATAATTCATTTCTAAATTTAAATCAATTTCTACACTTGAACAAGCATATTAAATAAACATTGTTTTGGTTTCACACAATTTATTTTTGGTAAGAATCCTATGATATCTACTTGTTCATTCATTTAATCAAGACCATCCAAATAATTAGAAAGACCATACAAGAAAAGTAAGTACTGGGCTGGGGATAGAGCTCAGGAACCAGGGGTGCATACTTATATGTGCAAGGGCCACATTTGATGTCCATTCTACATGGACCCTGCTCATTCTCTACCATGTTCAGCCCCAGAGACCCCAACAATTAATATTCTAAAATGTCAGAGCAAAGATTAAAACTTTTTTTCACTGATTGCATCTCAGGTAATCATATAATTTTATTAAGGTGTTGATTCTTACTAAATAATTTCTGTCATTGTTAAAAGAAAACATCATCTGCATCTTACTAGATTTCTGAGTTCACTTAAGTTAAATAAAAAATATTGCAGAGAAGATTGAAAAGAAAACTACTTTCCTTTAGACTATAATATTAAGAGCTCCTCTTCAGAGACTAATAATTGCAATAATTCATAGCCTTTTAGCTGTACTAGATATTAGCAAAGGATCAATGTATTTATATCTTAATAGGAAACCTATTTATTTTTTTCCATCTCTGTCTTTGGTGCCTAAGGGTTATCTAGTTTTTTATTTTTTTAATGAATCACCTTGAGGTACAGTTACAGACTTACAAACTTTTGTGCTTACGTTTCAGTCATACAATGATCAGTACCCAATCCTCCAACAGTGCCCGTAATAGGAAATTTAAACCTCTATGTTGAAAGTGTCCATGAAGTGCCTAATATATGATAAAATCTGGCAAACTTATGTACTGAAAGCAAAACTTCTAATCATCATTATGTCCTAATATACATTTTCTAATAAAGACACATGGTTTGACTTTTAATCCCACAGAATTCTAGGAGATTAGCTCTATTCACCTATTGTGTAGGTGCATCACCTCCACAATAAAGTTAGGGAGCGAGAGCTATCCCAAATATGAGTGTTAGGTCAGTCATCAGAACTGAAATTTTTGTCTGTAGAACTAAGCTAACATGTGGGAGGAGTGTGGGAGGGACCCTTGGGACACTGGTGGAGGGAAACAGGCTTTCTGATGTTGGAATGATATATCATGAAAAGTATGTTTAGTAATATTGCAAATCCTGGTACCTCAATAAAAATGTTTAAAATGAAAACAAACCTAACCCAATAGATTATGCCTAAAAAACTCACATACATTCAAATGAATAAAAGCATGCCTTATGTGACACCATATTTAAGACATTTACATATATTTATATACACTCAGTTCTTTCGAAATCTATGTCACAATGTTATTCTTCTGGTTTATTATCAACAAAACTAAGTATGGGAATGAGAAAACTTAAGGAAATTTAGCATCTTCGTTCAAACTGATCTCCGCTAACCATATTCAATATATCCTAGAGGTAATATAAAAATAATTCACTGGTGTCCATTAAAGAATCAGCACACATTCACACTGCCAAGTATAAAATCAAGAAAATATGGAAGTCTGACTCATGCATACAAGAAACCCAAATGCCTTACAAGTTTTAACGTTTGAATGTTTATTCTACCACACAGATGTTTTCAAAATTGCCTACAGAGACAGTTTATGAGCCAGACATGAAAATCAGTCTCATTCTTTTAGAGTTCAACAGTTAACACACACACATATCCTTATGAAGCCTTTTTATCCCCCTTAAAAGCAGGTTGAAGGTGAAATTTGTAGGGCTAATTGTTGGCATTATCCAAATCAAACTACAGCTCAATGGAGCATGGCAGCAGACTGGTTTCAGACCTTATCCTTTATTAAAGTTTTTTTCTTTAAATAGAAAAATAATATTATAAATCAATGAAAGATTCTGTACTAAGAAAATGGAAGTGTATGTATGTGTATAAAATTGAGTATGTGTATAGAATTATGACAATTTCATACAAAAATGCAGAAAATCATATTTCTTACAGGATCACCAGCAACTTTAAAACTCTTCTTAATTTCTGTATTTTTCCTTCACTTTAGATTTCAATATGTTATTGTGTGTGAACATACGCACACACATAAACATATATGCCAATTGAAAAAATCCTGCTGTAAAGTGAATAAAATGGCTTAGGAAAAGAGAAAAATTATTAAGGAGGCTACTCAGAGTCAAACTAAGGTATTTAGAGCCAACAGACCAACATCAGAGTCCTCTGAGTGATTATCCATAAGGAGTTTTAACATTGATTTATATTAGTGAATAATATATGCATAAAAATGGGATACAGATGTTCTTTAGAATGATGTCTAGCTGACCTTTAAGTTAACTAAAGAGACCAGTTTTCTATAGATTAAGTAAACTGATAAAGGAGAGAACTTTTTCATAACTTTCAAGTAGTTGCTTAATCTTCTAAGATTAAGTTAGTAAAATCAGAGATTATTTGAATTTCTTATTTGGAAAGCATTCCTATAGACACACATATG